GTCAAAAAATTTCAGGTTTTAAGTAAAATAATTTCGTCTTCTATGAAAAACTATTTTGACTTTTTTCCCCGAAATTGCAATTTCGGGGCCCCAAAATAATTTTGCGTGCAAGTATACTCTGAACGCGTATTTCGAATACAACATAAAAAAATAAGTTAATCTTTTCTATATTTTGAACTCTGGTAAGTTTACAATCACGCGTATCCCTACTGTCGTTAGGCCATCCCGTCCTGCGTTCAGATGTTTGGAGGCAGTCTGTTGTGCTGTCTTTGAGCATACGTGTTTAAGGCCTTAGTCCCAGTATGCTGTTTTCCAAGATGCGTTTACTATACCTACTGTCATTAGGCCATCCCGTCCTGCGTTCAGATGTTTGGAGGCAGTCTGTTGGGTTGTCCTTAAGCATACGTGTTTAAGGCCTTAGTCCCAGTATGCTGTTTTCCAGTATACAGTTGACTGTAAACATTACCATATTTCTTTATTAAAATGATAAATAACTAATAATTACATTAATTATTTTTAGATGTTTGACTTCACCATAACAGAATATCTCGATAAAAAGAAAAACAAGGATTGGTCAATCCTTGGAATCCTAGAATTTTCAAGATTGAACTCGAAATTATCTGTCGCTACGATCAATGGTTTTAAGGAAGATCAATACGCAATATTATGCAGCTATAAAGACAAATGTAACATTCACGTAAATGCCAAAAACAAGGTGATGAAGATTATATCTAATTTCGACTCAGTTTTCTCAACTGCTGATGCGAAGAAATTTATTAAGGATCTTGAATACCATGAGGAGGCACGAATAAATGTAATATCGACTTATACAGCTACAGTTTTAAAGGTAAGATTTATGAAATTTGAAACCCATATTTACAATAGATATATATTTACCAAAAATTTTTTAGGATCAGCAAGAAAATCAAAAACTTATTGATCAATTACGAGAAACATCTAATTCAGAAAAGGGAAAGGAGCGTGAAAAAATTACTAAACCACTTGATGCGGAAGATGACCATTCATACAAACGTCAACGTAAAGATGAAGAACTTTCAGATCTGTTCGAGCTACTTTGTATTCACATTAATTTTCGCAAAATAAAAAAAAAAAAAAGCTTTCTCATATAAGAATTTTGTGAATGCATACATAGATTTTAGATGATGAAGAACCCTTTGTTGAATGGGAATTTGATACACCGAAACCAAGTTGGCTAGATAAAATAGCACATGAGCGTGATTCATTAATTTACAATGCTTTTAATTGTAATAATAAAAAGACTCAATATGAATTATCTTTAAAGTAAGTGTTTGGTAAGCGTTGATTCATTTCGTTACTGGTGGCTTCCAGATTCTAATAAGTTTTTAGTCCAATTTGGTGGAGGATTATAGATCTATCCAATCCAGAAATCACAGCTCTTATATCAGAAGATGAATTATCAGAATTGAATGCAAAGATTTCATCCCTTTTAGAAAATTGGACCATCTTAGAACCCGAAGCAGAGAAATGCTTGCAATCTTTCGAAAAGACGAATTATAGAATTAGTATTTCAATTCTTTATTTTAAATTTATTAACCAATGCTTTGGTTCCCAGCTCGACAATGACCAACTTCGCACTATTGGAGAAATAGTTAGGCCAAAAGAAACGTACGGAGCAATTCTTGAACTCCAAAAATTATTAGAAAATAAAAAAGAGCAGAAAGCACCGGAACTGGACAATTTATTTGGAGATGAAAAAGATTCCAATGAAGTAGATAATCATAAGGACTGACAGTTGACGATCATACGAACCCGGATGTTGCTTTCATTTTTGATTTAATTCGATTTATGTAAGTTTTAACGATTAAGTACCAAATTATATGTTATTAAACATGTGTTTAACAAGTCTTGTATAATAATTTCATTCAGATGTGAAATTATTGCAAAAGGGATCACTCAGCGACCTAATTCTGAGCGAGATATTGATGTGTTTATAAAAAGGCACATTTTTTCATGTTTCGATACTATCCTGGATAGTCACTTGTAAGCTTTATTGTTATTTTTCAATTTTTTTTATTATTGATAATAATATTTACATTTTGTTTAATTAAGTGGGGAGGTTGTATCAAGAGCTTCTAGAAACCGCCTAGTAGAGGCAATAGATGCACCAGATAATGTAGAAGACTATCACTTGGATTGGATGTTCACGGTATGGCAGATTCTTAGAAGTTATTATCATTAACTATCAGTATTAGTATGCTTATTAATTTGATTTATAGAGGCACGATCTAGGTAAAGAATTATGTTGGGGTCGAGAATTTTCTCTTTGCGATTGTACCGGTTCAAAGACCGAAGACACTTCCAAGATTTTTTCAAACACTCTAAAAGTGCAGAAAACTTTGAGAGACATTCACCACAATTTAATAAAAGCGATATTCACTGAGGGTGGAGGGACACTGTCGAAACCGGTTCTTCAAGCAAGCGCAAAGCTATTGATGTCCAGATTTTTATCCTCACATTTTTTTATGCGCACAATTCTTATCATCTACGTTGGAGGTGGATTTTATGTATCTGTTGATTTAGCTGATCTATACATCCCAACAAAATATCAAGAACTCGAGTTTATCATTAAAATGTCACGTATTATGCTTCAAACAAAGGTTAGTAACATTCAAACAATCTTTAAAATCTTTATAACCTTATTTTGCACTTACTCAATTTTGTTCTTGCAGAAATTATTTTCAGTTACTATTTCTCGATTTAAGCAAATGAAGAACCGGGCTGAAAGAGAGAAATTTGCACCCGGAAAAATAGCAATGCCTGCTAAACAACAGGAGTACAGATCCTTCCAAAAACCAAGGGTTTCGAACACAAAAGGTCAGTGACAAAATTCGTTTAAATATTATATTTAACATAACATCACTGATTAAGATATATTATTCTTTTTCAGATTACCAAGAACCTGATGAAGGCCCAGTTCTTAATGATATTAAGTAGAAAGGTCATTATCAATGTGTCACATAATATCATAGAAGTTAATAAATAAAGATTTGGTTTGAGTGTATTATAGATGCGTAAGCATTGAAGAAATAAAGTCTTCCAGATCATTTTTCTAATTGGTTAAAAAATCAAATGCCTACGTTTCCGAGTATGTGGAACTATTAACATAAAACCGATTCGATTCAAGTTTAACCAAGGATAATTTATTATTATAATTCAATCATGATTACTATATATTGCTAATGCAAATTTGCGATTTTATTTGTTTGATTTTTTTGACGATTTGTTGTTGAAAAATTTTTGCTTAGTTACACATTTTAAATAAATAATAAGATATATACAATATATTACTAAAACATGCAATCCGAGATTGATTCATTGAGACAACGAATTTCTGAGCTTGAAGCTGAAAAGACTGATTTATGTTTTCTGATCTATCGATGGTTTTCAATCGTTTTAGAACTTTACCATCATCCTAAAAATAAAATTTTCATTAAAAATAAAATCATAATGCAATCCATTTCCGTTGATTTACTTATGGATGTTTATTTGTCTATGTGAGCGTTTATTTTCCCATTCTTTTGCTTTGATTCGATCAGTTTGGAAATGCTAGAATGAAGACTTTAAATTAGTATTCTTCCATTCAAAATTGATTTTCATCCCACTGGAACACATCGCAGCCGAAAAGGACACCTGAGCCCCAGTGGTTCCAGTGCTGGATCAGCGAGGAGCTTTTGGCATAGTGGATAACCTATGCGCCAGCATCAGTTCTGTGGCTTGGCAAAGAGCTTTGAATGTCAGGCTTCCGAAGAGGCCTCCTGTCACGCCACTTATCTTAAAAATAAAAAAATGATTTTATTTTATATGCCTTTTTATATCTTCTGCGCGTTTTCTCGTCACTGCCTTAATCAGAATCAATGATTGTTTTGAGGGATTTTAAGTAATAATCTACTTTTGAGCTTAACGGTTCTAGTTCACTTTCGTTTAAGAAGCCGAGGATACTCCAGTTTTCAGGTTCATTTCGGTTGAAGTATTCATCTATTTTATTAATACAATAAATTAAGTGTTTCGTTAATCAAGCATTTAACATTTTCAATCTATAATCAAATAATTTATATAACTAATTATAAATTGGCATTTAATATGTGTGCATTCTGAAATAATCATTTTTCTGATATGATATAAGCTAAATGTACTCATCTGGATATTAAGCAGCGGGGAGAAAACTTATAAAGAACTTATAAAATGTTTTGCATAATCTGTATTACGGAGTCGGAGTAATGGGCATGCCACTCTAAATTTCCACAGGAAAATAAGCACATAAATTAATATGTATTTTTCGCATTATCACAAGTAAAATTTAAAATTTGCACAAATTTTTAGCCAGGCTTGAAATTCCACTTCTCGCAGAAAATAAATCACATTTGCCAGTTAATGGCTACAAAAGTATACAGAGTAAAAGTCATCCATTAAAATTTACTGTACTAGAAGTTATGTTCGAAAAAAATAAAACTTTATTAATGTGATAAAAATAAAGATACTTTATTCATAAAAAAATTAATTTCACAACGTATATATGGCGCAGATATTTTGTGCCTAGAATGTTTCGCATAATATTTTACATTTAAGTGTAAATCACAACTTTATTGATATGTATAATTATATTATTGACTTGATCCATGTACATATCTCGTATTAAAAAATAAAAGCTGATGTGGTAAATTTACTAAAGAATATATTAAGACGGTTAAAATAAGAGGAATTTCATAATACATTATGGACCAAAGAATTACTAAACTCCTCTGTTATCATCTAAAATCCAAGAATAATTTTGCGACGCACCAGGGAAATTGTGACGTACTTTTGAGCACCCATAATTTTCAGATCGAGTCATTTTACACTTCTTGCACACCTCTTTACATCCTTTTGAACTGTGTTCTTTATGGCAGTCTTCACAAACCGGATAACATCCTTGTGATTCCTTAACCGCTCTATTACAACATGTGTAAAATTCTTCGCAACCATTCTCCCCGACCTTCTTATTGCAACACTCATAAAGATTTGTACAACGTTCGAGAGCTTGACAACATTTATAACGTTCTTTGCATCCAATACTTTTATCTGGTTTATTGCAACATCGATGTCCATTAATGCAACCTTCGCCTGAACGTTGGCAGCATGTATAAATTAACTCGCATCCTGGATTCCTGTCGCAACACGAGGACTTGGTAGTACATCCTGATGAGTCTTTACTACCACCACAACAACTATAATAAGAAGGATTACGTTTTGTGTCATGAAGATCGACAATACCAAAGGTAAATATTCGGAGAGCATTCGCACCGGCACCATGGTCTCTTGTTTCATACTCCTCACCACTACGAAGCGAGCCAGTGTGAATTTTAGAACTTCCGGAATTCTTATGACTCCACACTTGTATGGAATTAGCATGATACTTTGAAACTCCATCAGGATGATATTTTTCTTTTCCTTCGGTATGGCACCAGTGGGTACCTTTCGGATGTCTCATTTCCTTATTACCTAAATGAATCATTACTTTGTTATTGTTGTGAATCAATTCTCCGTCCAAATGACATTCCGCAACAGCCAATCTTGGATCAGTATATTCGGGACACTTCTCGCACTTGAAATTTTTAAATTCGAGAGGGATTGGATGCTCGAGATGTTCCTTCATTAGTGACTCGTACACTGCAAGGATTCGCTCTGGTTCAGATTCTTTAAAAATACCATTACTGTTTAACTCGTCACTTGTGAAATTCCCCATGCGAATAAGATTTGATACTTCTTCACTTTCGAATAAGAGAATTGCAAAATTAGAGGTTTTTTTAAGCAGATCGTCGTCATTGTCGGGAAATTTGCCATGTTTTAATTTATAACACTTTTGAGCTATTTCTTTAGCTGCGTCATATGGTCCTTTTAGAATACTTTGGCCTTTGTGCACGATAATGACATTATTCCACACATTTCCATCATAGTATTGGGCCAAGGTATCTATAAACCTTGCTTGACGGTGGAACGAACCTAATGCTCTGATGTCAGGTACTACAAACCACAAGATTGTGGTCAAATTTGTAATTCCTTTATTCTGCATTGTACGAAGAATTACGCGAGCGGTTTCGGCATCATCTTTCCCCTCATTTGAATCATCAAAACCAGGTGTATCGACATATCTACAGTTATTTCCGCAATCATGAACGGCTACTTCATTCGTTACGGATTTGGTTGAATCACTGACTTCTGTTTTCGCACCAAAAATGTTTCCAGTAAAGCTTTTTCCATTGCCCGTTTTTCCAATTGCAAGAATACATTTTTCCGGTGCCTAAATATAATATAATATTATACTTTAATCATTTCCTTGTTAATGGGATTTAAAAACATCCTTGTTCTTATTTACACTTACATTGGACATTTTTCGTAGTCTCAATAAAATTAGAACGAGTAGATAATTTATACGTTTTTCTTCATTCTTTCCTAAAACATTACGCAGAAAAAAAAATATAATTTGTGACGAAGGCTCAGCAGGTTTGAAACGCCCTTGTCAATGGGCTTGCAGATATAATAATCCATTTTTAACAAGTATAATAACTAGACCAAAAGACATTATCTTGCAACTTTTGTTTTGTCTTGTAATTGAATGTTAGATCTTATTCTTTCCAAAATTGGAAAGCTATTCATTCTAAATTGAAAAACATCATTACGAATCTTACATGATGAACAATGGTGATATTCAATGTCAAATCCTTAAAGTTTTAGCGGAACTAATATGATATGAGTGTAGTGTTTCTGATGATGACGATAATGCAGGATATTATTAAAATTTAAGTATCGGGAAGATAACTGATAAAAAATCGATTCATTTCTGCGGAGCAGGACACTTATGTGGCTGACATAATACTATTAGTACCTGTTAACTTTAATAAACGATTTATAAAAAAAGAAACAATAAATGATTTACAGAATAGGAGACGCATAAAATTAATATATCAATCCGGAAAATAGTATAAATTGCTCCATAATAATTCTTTCATCAGATCAAGTTCCAGAATTATTATGTCAAGAGAAATCTTTACATCCGATTACGTCTACACTTACATCTGAATTAGTTACACCTGAACTAGAAACTTTGCCTTTATTATCAGACCAAGAAAAATCCTCACATCTAGAAAGTAAGTTTTATTATTTATTTTTTTATTTTAATTAATTTTATTTTAATTAATTAATTTATTTTATTTAATTAATGTATGTATTTCTTTTATCAGATCAAGTTCCAGAATTATTATATCAAGAGATATCTTTACATCCGATTACTTTTGATTGTCTTTGATATTATCATTTTCGTTTCATCAATCATATCGCAGAATAATAATTAGCCAAATAGTTATTATTTTTGTTGTTGTCATTATTACAATTATCATTTATTATTGTTGTTATTCTATATCTTCAATAAAATATGCTAATATATACTTATCAAGTTAATGCTTATGATTATGCCAAATAAGCTTATATATCGATATATTGATACTATTTTAATTTAATACCTTCAAATTTTTATTATCATTGTTATTATTATAAATTCTATAAATTCACAAATAAAAAAATGGGAAAATAGAAAATATTAAATAAGATTCTCTATATGATTAAATGACTCAACATCATACTAAAAATTAAATTAAATCTTCTTGTATTTTGATATTATTCTTTCTATAAATTATGTTAAAAAATAAATAAATAAATTAATTAAAAAAGTATAAAAATAAAACTAAATGACGAATTGGGTTGATTATTTATTGTCATCATCAATATTAACTGTTAAAGAAAATATATAATTAAAATAAATACTGTATAAAATTGATGTTAATTCATATGAATTATATAAATTCAAATTTATTTATCAATACAATAAACCTTCCTGTTAACTAGACGATAATTTTATATCAAATATTATCATTCTTTTTCTATAACATGTTATTACTAAATCAATTGCTTTTCCATTTAACTTAAATTTGAATATGCTTGTAACAAAAACACTGTATCTATATCATAACCCATAGTAAAATGAAATGATTAAGAATTAAAGTATTCAAAAATGTTGGTTTCAAATTCTTCTCATTAATTCTTTAATAGTTTAAGCAAAGCTTCTTCTATGAATCAGCAGTAAAAGTGATTCAATATTATTTTCTGATTCCAAAATCCGTAAACATTGGTCTATATAAATAATCTAAATCTTCCTTTCCTAATCATAAATCTCAATTTTCTTTGAAATAAACTCATTCTCAGCGATACGATTTGGTTGATATGTGAGATCAGTTGTTTCATAGATAATTTTGACCAATAAAATTTGGTTAATATTTTTTCCGCTCTATTTTCGATTAAATCCATGGTTGTGACTCGAGAGGTTAGTAAAATTAATTTATTATATCTTTTGATATCTTTGATTCAGAGATAATAGATAATAATATCTTCGAAATGATTTATTTTTTTTTTGTTTTCAATTATACTGGAGATTTAAATAATGGCCCAATCTTTGATATGGCATCAAGTAAAACATTTTTCCAAATGTCCTTAAGTGTTCTAATCAATTAAATTCTATATTTCTAAAAGATATTGTATTAAGACGTAGTGCGTTGATGTATAATAGGAATGTGTTCTATTTTGAGAGTTTATAATCAGTGGTTTTTTTCAACATATGGTGCGGCAGCAAAAATCCAAATAAAGAAATTTTCACTTATAAAAATTGTAGATCAGTTTCCTTTTTTAGATTTTTGCCGCACATATTCGCCCATATGAAAGATTTGAACCTATAAACAATGGCATTTTCCAATAGTGTATTAAAAGTGATGGTGTTGGAATGTGATTATGAACAATAAAGTCAAAGTATATTATCTCTTGCAAGATAAATAATATTATGCTATCAATAAAATCAAACAAGTAGATAGAGAAGTATGTCACGATGCAAATGTTTCGATTACGTGATATTTCTGATGAAATGAAATCTAGTTCACTAGTCATAATATTGTTATTAATTTATGAATGTATGGATCGCGTGTTCATATGAGTTTATATTTATTTCATTCAATTTATTACTTATAGTATCCATATATTTGACTTTCTAATTGATTCTGATAATAAGTTCATCTTACAAAATAAATCAACTCGAGAAGATAATATAAATTATATTTAATATTTAGATAGAGTAAAAGATATAATAAAATAGCGAGACTAAAACATAAATAAGAATATGAAATAATGAAAAAAATAAGTCCATGTTCTTTACGAAATAACTACGCAGGGGTATTATCTTCGGCATTTTGTTTCGTTTTTTCGTTAACCAGAAGTCTTGCTTTTATCAAGTAATTTTTGAAAAGGACTCATTTTCAATGATATCGATGTCGTCGATTATGTCGATGTTGCTTCTAATCGCAAATATTTCCCTCCTTACAATAATTTATACCGTGTGAACAATTGTAACCTGGCGGACAACATACGCCGTTAGAGAAACATTTCTAATCCTGTGAACAGCATAAGGCTTTGCAACAAACTTCACCTAGTTTACAACTATGATTGTAAGTTGGATCTATTTCGCTTTTTATTAAAGATGAGAAATATGCCGGGATAACTTTTTTCGACTCTTCTCTGTTTCAAGGGTGCCGTAGCAAGAGTAAATTTCCGAAGATTGCAATGATGAGAATAAGCATTAACATTAGATTATGAATGATTATACTTAGTTTAATTGAAAGAAGCAGTTTGAGGTAAATGTAATAATTCACTAATATTTGATCAAAAAAAAAAAAAATAAAATACTCGGTACTATATATATATTTGAAAGAAAAGAAAAAAACTTCATTTATAGAAATCTGTTTTAATTATCAGTACGATAATGGTTTATTAAAACAAGACAAAAAGACCAAAATCATTTAAAACGATGCCTTTTGATCGATCGTGATCTCAAAATTGAAGCTAAATTTCTATCATCGCCCCATCGTCTTTGTAAATTTCTATCATGTGTGAAGGTATCACATAAATAAATTACCTTGTATTTTATTGTCTTTTTTGTTAAGAAATTTCATTATAGATTTCACAAAATAATTACAAATCTGAATTTAAGTTATTATTGTGTTATTCTTTTATTGCCTTGCCTCAGCATTTTCTTTTGAAGCTTATTCAGATGTCAACTATCAAGGTTTTTATACGCTTTACACTGAATCAGGAACTTATATGCCTGGTTAGATTTTACCATTGGTGATGGATGCTGTGTGAAAATGTGTCGATAGTCGCGAGGTCGGTTATTGGTATGAGAGCCATGACCATGAGGTCAGCAGTTTCAACAAAATTGTTATTGGATGTGAATAAGATGTTAATATATTCTCAGAAATATTTGTTTAGTTAGTGATGACTTATTAGTGCCATCTTTAAAAAGCCATTTATTCGTTTTTTTTTTTATATATATAAACAAGAGATTTGATCTGTGCGCATGATATTTAATTTAAATAAAAAAAAATAATAATTTTTATAATATCTTTCTTTTGAAAGATTATTATTTAAAGCAATCTAATCTTTATAATAAAGAAGATAAATCATTGAATGTCTACAAAATTATAAACCAGGTGGAAGGTCAATTTCATATTGTAATTTATAATGAATTTTAATATAAATATGTAAATTCTTTTTGGTGATATTTATAAATGTATCAGAAGATTTATATTTGATTTGTCAGATAGAATTTTTTTTTTTGTAAAAGAAAATTAATTAAATTAATTATTTTATTTTATTGTGTTTAATGTAGGAATCTTTATTTATTAATCTAATTGTGCTAAACTACTACAGATATATAAATAACTTCACATGAATTAATGAGAAATTATTTGTATCATATTTTAATAATATTAATGTTCTAAAAGTTCTGTCTGAAGGTTTATTACAACTTTCAATATCTATGATGGAAAAACCATTTTTGATAATTTAATGAATATTAAATTTATTTTGGGTTTAAAAAATCATGAAGATAATTTACACACTTTATTATTTATGTATGTTGCTTGTATTATTAAGCAGCAATAAATATTTTAACATATTGATACAAAAATTTTATATTAAAAAATTCTGATTTGTTGAATTATTATTAAATAGCTTAGAAAATATTTTATATATCTATATCTAGGTAAATATTTGATAATTTAAAATTTATATTAATAGTACTACTAGTAAATATAAAAACTATCAGAATATCTACGAATTATTACATAAGGGATACAACTATAGCACTAGCACCACCACCTCCATTGCAAACTCCTGCAACTCCAATTTTACCATTCTTTTTCTTTAATACACTAATCAATGTACAAATAATTCTTGCACCTGAACATCCTAATGGATGCCCCATTGCTACCGCTCCTCCAAATACATTTACTTTTTCTTTTGATAATCCAAGTAATTTAGTGTTGGCAACTGCCACAACAGAAAATGCTTCATTAATTTCAAAATAATCGACTTCTGAAATTGGTATGTCTCCCGCATTCTTCAGGGCTTTTGGAATGGCAAGTGAAGGTGTTGTTGTAAATTTAGCTGGAACCTAGTTGTATAAATGAGGTGAGGAAAATAGTGGCAATATATATATACACATATATATATATTAATAATATGATCAGTCAGTTTATTTTTTAATAAAATTTTTTACCTGAGCAGCATCAGCCCAACCAGAAATCTTGGCAATAATTTTAATCCCTAATTCATGAGCTTTTTCTCCACTAATCAAAACGATAGCGGCAGCACCATCACTTAATGGAGATGAATTAGGTGCAGTAACTGTTCCATTCTCGCTTTTAAAAGCTGGGCGTACAGCTCTCAATTTTTCAGCATTAAGCTAAAATAAAAAATTAAAAATAAAATGAAATTAAAAATTCAATAAAATTAAAAAAAAAAAATTAAAAAAATTAAAATAATTAAATAAATCAAATATTTACATTAGTGATTTCATCATCTTGTGTAATTACTTTATCAGGTTTTCCTCTACCACCAGAAACAGTTATAGGAACAATTTCATCAGAATAACAATCATCAGAAAAAGCTGCTTGTGCCCGTTGATAAGAAGAAATTGCAAAGTCATCCTTTAGAGTTGAAATAATTTTAAAAGATTATAACAATTTCTTTCTTCTTTTATGATAATAATAATAAAAAAAAAAAATTTGCAAGTACTGAAATGATTAAGTAAGTAAATTTTTCATACTTGTTCTTCACGACTAATATTATGTTCAACTGCACATTCTTCAGCAGCTATTCCCATAAGATAATTATTATATACATCAGTTAAACCATCTTTAACAATTCCATCCACAAGTGTTTGATCACCATATTTAGAACCAAATCTAGCCTTAGGGACATAATAAGGAGTATTGGTCATGGATTCACATCCACCAGCGACTACAATCTAGAAAAAATAATTAATTAAAAAATTAATGAATTAAATAATAATAATAATAATTAAACTTGGGAAATAAGAAAATTGATTTAATAAATAAATAAATAAATAAATAAAAGAGGTACATCAGCGTGTCCAGTAATAATAGTTTGTGCACCTAAAATAACAGCTTTCATAGCTGATGCACAAACTTTATTAACAGTAGTAGCAATTACTGTGTCAGGAAGTCCAGCACCTAATGCAGCTTGACGAGCCGGATTTTGACCTAAAAATTTTTATTTAAAAAATATATATATATATTGATATAAATATTATCATCATGTTAAATAGATGTTAAATAGTAAGTAGACTGTATAAAAAACTAATTTCCGAAATTCATTTACCAAGATTAGCCGATAGAACATTTCCAAAAAACACTTCTTCTACCTTATTAGGATCGAGATTTGCTTTTTTTAAAGCAGCTATAACAAAGATATAAATTAATTTTCTTTCTTTTTAAACAAATTATTGAGATAATTACTGTATATTTCATTTACCTTCAATTGCAATAGATCCTAGTTTCGTGGCACTAAATGAAGCTAATGAACCATTAAATCCACCAGTAGGTGTTCTTGCGTAAGCAGCAATGTAGACATCTAATGATGATTAAAAAAAAAAAAGGAAAAATTATTATTACAATATATATTCTTATAAAACTAATTATTAACTAATTAAAAGGTATAGAACTAATTAAAAGGTATAAAACTAATTAAAAGGTATAAAAACTAATTAAAAGGTATAAAACCTTTTTGAGTTGGCATATCTTTTTTTGTTAATTTTTGTCAGAATAAAAATCGGGGCTTTTTTATATAGATTAAAAGATCAAAAAAAAAAAAAAAAAAAATTAAGTGTCGGATTTAAAACCATTTATGGTTATCATTTATATTATGTTTTTAAAAATAAAGTTTGTCCAATCAGTTTGATTTTTTCCAAAAATGAAACGAATGCAAATTAATTCTTATTATTATTCTCATTCTTGTTAAAATTGTCCATTTAAGATCAAAAAAAGAAGAATATCTTCTATATATACGAACAATTATTCTTAATTAAATAAATATTTTTTTTTTACAGATAAAATAAAATAAATAATTTATGTCAAAAAATTTAATTGAAAAACAAATAAATAATAATTAATTAATAAATATAAAATAAAAAATGCCAAGATATAATCTTTTTAATTTTTTGACATTTCAGTAGCATTTTATTCACTGGGTTCTTTTAAAACTTCAAATTCCGAGGTTTGTAATATGTATTCTCTAAATATTTATCTAATAACATTTAGAAGGTTTTAAATTATTTAATTATTAATTATTAAAAATTATCAGTTCAAAGAAAAGCGTAGGTCGTGATTATGTCAGAATGTAAATCTACAAAAATTTGTTAAAGTTTTTTTTTGACAGAAGATTTCATGCATCGAGTAGAAATTAAGATTTCATGCATGAATACGTAGAAATTAAGATTTCATGCATGAACAGAAATTGAGAAATTGAGAAATTGAGTAGAAAATGAACGGAGAATTTATTATTTATTATTTCAAGTCAGAATAACGTGGATCCGACTAGTATAAATTGATTGATTAATTGAGTAAAGTAATTTTAATTTTCCTCATTTAAAAATTTAACGTTAATGAATAAAATCCATTTATTTTTTATTCTTCCCGATACAGGTTTTTCATTAATTGTTGATATTATTTTAAACTCATCATTGAGTGGTTACACCGTGAATTTATTAATTTTATTTGTGGCGTGTTATAATTGGTTTTTCCGTAAACGCACGACTTGTATTTTTTTAAAATGAAAAAATTTTTCAGGAATCTCAGAAAAACCACAAGTTCAGACGGCGATCTTTCCACCACCTCTCGAAATAGATCAAATTCATCCTTATCAGATCATTCAACGTTTCAGCGCCCACCATTAAGAAATAATTACTCATGGAAAGAAAGAACGAATTATCATAGTAATCAAATAGGTATTAAAACATTTTTAATGAAATTTACTTTTGGAAAGTAAAAAAAAAAAAAAAAAAATGTTTTTAATAAAATATTATAAATTTAGAACAAGCCAATATTCCAAATGACTATGATTACGCAATGAACTTACAGCGAATGTATGATCAAGAAAGTGATAATCCTGTTCTTGGTAATTTTAACTCAATAAATAATTATATTATTAAAAATTTAAATTATTATTAAATTATTTAAAATTTTTAATTAATTTTATCTTAGTGGGAACAACGGATACAGCGGAAAAGATGTTTTCAAATGTTACAATTATGAATAATGAAAAGAATGAAAATAATAATAATGATGATAATAATAACAACATTATTGATGATTTAAATTATGCTAGACAATTACAAGATTATTATGATGATAAGAATAATGATATAATATCATCAAGATCATCATCGGAAGTTAAAATTGTTTCTTCACAAGTTAATGAAGAAGAAGATAGAAATATTGCTATTGAATTACAGCGACAATTAAATGAAGGTAATTTTTCTATATTAATAATATTAATTTTACAAAAGATTAAATTAATTAAAATTAATAATATTTAATCATTTAAAATAATATTAATTAATTATATTATTATTTATTATTATTATTATTATTATTATTTATCAATTTTTGAAGATATATATTCACATTCACCTATACCTGAAGATAATATTATACCTAATAGTAATAATAATATTATACCTGAAAATAATATGAATGAAATTATAAATGACGATAGAAATATTGCTCTGCAATTACAACGATTTTATGATGAAGAAGATATTGAACCAATTGAAGGTAATATTCATTATTTAACAAATGTAATATTATTTTTAATTTATTATTTTAATTTATTTTAATTTTAATTTTGTTAATATTCAATAAACAATTTTGAATTTTGAAATTAATTAATATAAAAAAGGAAATTACGAAGATAACGTTCCTATTGAAGAATATGATGAAGATATTAATTCAGGCGAAGGTAAATTCTGAAAAAAAATTAAAATTTATTACTGTAATTTTATATATGATATATATATATATTTATATTTATATTAAAAAATAATAATTATTGACAAAATTTTTTAATACTAGAAATATTAACTACACTCGGAATATCTCCAGGAGAAATTTATTCTCAAGGTAAAAACATTTTACTGATATTTTTTATTATAAATTTATTTAATCTTATTTTAATATATTTAATTTATTATTAAAAGACCTGGAAGGAATTATTCATGAATTTAATGAAACTCTAAGTCTGAAATTTCCTGGAGCTACAAGGAAAAATATTGAAATTTCTTCAAGGAATCCATATATCATGTTCACAGAATTTACTGATGCCATCAAACAATTCAAAGAGATTGATTTTATATTAAGACCAAAAATAACTTTCAAAAATGAGTAAGTTATTTTTTTTTTTTTTTTATCTTTCACAAAATTTAATACTCTTATTATTCGTACATATTCTTATTCATATTCTTATTATCAATAATTTAATTATAAATAAGACCAGCGATAGATGCAAGTGGTGTATTTAATGATACAATACGACAAATTTTGGAAACGTTCATGTCATTAGAAAATCCTGAATATGGTGGTGATGGTCATCTCTTCATCGGTGATTCTACAAAAATTATTAGTAACACGGCTCCTGTTGATTTTATGGATGAACTTGATGTATGTCGATTATTAAATTATATTTATATTTTAATCATATTTAATATATTTTATCATATATGTATATATGTGTGTATGTATATATATATATATTTATATTATTGTTATTATTTTAGGTGTTTGGAGATATCTTATTTTTGGCAATAATTCACGATTCTCCATTTCCCACTGATCTAGATATTGTTATTTTTAAATACTGTTTAGATTTGAAAAGCAATATATCATTAGATGATTTGAAAAGAATTAACGTACAAAAATATAATATGGCTAAAGAAATATTAAATTTAAAACGAAATCTAAGTTTATCCACTGTAGTTGGATTTGATGAATGGGCCGAAGAGAAAGAAATTACGGTAATTTCTCAAATTTATATTTTTTTTTTTAATTCATTATTATTATTATTATTATTATTATTATTATTTATTTATTTATTTATTTATTTATTTATTTATTTATTTATTTATTTATTTATTTATTTTATTATTATTATCATCACATAATTATTATCCACAAATATTTTATAATCTTTAATTATTTATTGTTCAACGATTTTTAAAGCCAATACAAAAACAAGTTTATTCTAGATCAAAAGATAACCTAAAGAAATTAACAAAACTAATATGTGAGGATGTATTGATTAACACTCGAATTAATCAACTTGAAGCTATAAAAAAGAAATTAAACAAGTTTGGATTTTTCGATGTATATATTTCTCTATTTGATTCTTTTTCAATCTTTTTATTTTTTTTAGATTTGAACGTTTAAATATGTACATTTATAAAAAAAAAAATATTTAAACTTTTTATAGATCTTAAAAGCGAAACAAGTCAAAATCGAACAAATTAAAGGATACATGTATCAGGAAGTGATGTCACCTGATGATATTATTCAAAAATTGGTGGTTAATCCTAATTTAAGTCAAAAACAAAAAAAAGTTTTAAATTGGCTTATTGCGTGGCTAAGAGAACAAAGGAAAGAAGAATTACAAGAATTTTGTAGATTAGTCACGGGATTTACACATCCTAGAAATGAAATAAGTGTAAAGATTTTGATTTTTTTTTTAATTATTGATTTAATTATTCATTTTTTTAATTGTATTTTTAATTTTATTTATTTTTTTTTAAATTTAAAATATTTTATTAGGTAGCTTTTAAATCAACATTTCATCAAGAAAGCCGAGAACTTCAATTGACACCCAAATTTGCAACGTGTTTTCATGAAATAACTCTCGCTGAAACTTTTTCATCAAAGCAAGAATTATCCGCAGTTATGAATTCTCAAGTCAATAAAACAATTCATGATGATAGATTCACTATTGCATAATAATTTTGGAATTTATTTTTTTTTTTTATATTACAAATATTACAAATATTAAATATAGACTGGATTTATTTATTTAAAAAATATCTATATCATATAAAAACAAATTAGACCAAATGATTTTGTTAAATCCGTAAGAAAATATCATAATCAATAGAACTAATTATACTTAATTAATTAATAAAAATCTTATATTTACGGAATTCTATGAATGAGAACAATAAACAATATGCTACAATAAGGTAGTAAAACACAATATAAAAAGGCAAATGCCAAGAATGTTCGGTAGTACAAATTAAACCTGTTATGAAGGTCGCCGCAATTGTAAAAATACTGCGAAGTTGGCATATAAATACCTTAGATTGTACTCTTCTCAAAAATCTTAAAAAATATAGGTTCTTGGTTCGATAAATTTCTTGTTAAAATTTGTAAATCAATACATTTAAGAATATAATGTCAACTTCAAGTAGTAGTTGGATAGGTATTTTTTTTTTAATTGAACTAAAAAAAAAAAAAATACTATTTAACAACAAATCTTTTAATTTTTAGATCCTAGACGACAAAATTTAACTTTTCATGGTAATTTTTATTTTTATCATGCATTTTTTTTTTGACGATTCTTTCTATCGATGCGATTATACTTCATTGATGTGATGATCAATTGTTACATAATAAAGAAATCAGAGAATTTAATTAATAATTGTTAAATTTATTGTTCTCAAATCAATTCAGATAATGATGATGAAAGTCTTGCTATTCAATTACAACAACAATTTGATGAAGATTTAGCAGCACATACAAATAATGGTATTTTCTTTTATTTATTTTAAAAACAATCATGTGACTATCGGCAATTTTAATATCATTATTTGTTCTCAACTACAATTCAGATGAAGATAAAAATTTTGCTCTGTTATTGCAACAACAATTTGATGAGAATTTAGCAATACATACACAAAACAATGGTATTATTTTTTTTTATTTCAAAAAAAGTAATCATGTGACTATCCATAATTTTAATATTTATTTGTTCTTATATAAACTACAATTCAGATGATGATAATGAGGATAAAAAAATTGCCATGCAATTACAGCTACAATTAGATGAGGATTTTGCACACATACAAAATACACAAAACCAAAGTATATATATTCATTTCAAAAATATAATTATTGAATTTGTACTTTTTACTCATAATTTAATTTTTCAAATTTAAAGCTCCTGCAGCCATCAATGATTTAGGTGAAGATGAAAATATTGCGATACAATTACAAAAACAATTTGATGAGGATTTTGTACAAAGTCAAGGTAATAAATATTCTTCATTTCAAAATATAATTATTATTGAATTTATATTCATCACTCTATATTAAAAAAAAAAAAATTTGTAGTTCCTGCGACTATCAATGACTTAAATGAAGATGAAAATATTGCTATGCGATTACAGCAACAATTCGATTCACAAAGTCAAGGTAATATTCTTCATTTCAAAAAATATAATTATTGAATTTATATTCATAATTCTACATTTAAAATTTGTAGTTCCTGCGACTACCAATAATTCTGATGAAGATAGACGGCTTGCCATGCAATTACAACAACAATTGGAATTGGAAGAGGTTCCTGCAACTTCCAATAATTTTGATGAGGATAGACGACTTGCCATGCGATTACAACAACAACTGGAAGAGAATTCACAACGCGAAGGTAATTTTTTATTTAAAAAAGAGTGTATTTGTGTACTTTAATTCATTTTTTACTGTAAAATCCGAATAGAATATCAATTTGATGAAGATTTGGGACGAGAAGAATTTAATGAAGGTAACCAAACAAAAATATCTTTAGATTTATGTGAACCTCTCATATTCATTGTTCTCTTAATTACCAATAACTTAGATGTAACTTTCCCCGGACCTCAGTTTTTGAACTGTAAATATTTTTATTTTCATTTTCTATGATTTAAACAAATTAAATGTTTAACATTAAAAAAAAAATTTCAGTCCCATTGCCAGAGATCGTAAACGTTTCTAATGGTAAATTTATTTATATAAAACGATTACCTTTTGATATTGTTGCTAATTTTTTAATAATATTTATTAATGTACATCAAATTTATTTTTATTATGAAATAATATTTCCAGGCGAAATCGTATCCGAAGGTAATCTATACTATACTAAAGATATACATTATTTTTTCATGTCTTCATTAAAATCTTTCTTACAATCAGAATACAATTACTTCTTTAAATATTAAAGATCTAAGTAGTATTATCCAAGGTTTTAAAGAAAAACTAGAGCAGGAATTTCCTGAGGCTACTGTAAAGAAAATTAAGCTTCGTACAAGAAATAAACAACTTATGTGGACAGAATTCATTGCTGCTATCAAGAATTTTAATGAAATTGATTTTATAAAGAGACCAAAAATTTCATTTCTAAATGAGTAAATAATTTTTATAACTAGATAAATTTTATTTTTTTTATAATAATAATCATTTATTGTAATTTGTTTTTATTAATTTTATTTTTATTATCAATAATTTAATTATAAATAAGACCAGCGATAGATGCAAGTGGTGTATTTAATGATACAATCCGACAAATTTTGGAAATGTTCATGTCATTAGAAAATCCTGAATATGGTGGTGATGGTCATCTTTTCATCGGTGATTCTACAAAAATTATTAGTAACACGGCTCCAATTGATTTTATGGATGAACTTGATGTATGTTTATTTATATCTTTTAAATCATATTTAATACATTTTATCATGTATTTATTTACATCATCATCATCACCATTATTATTATTATTATTATTATTGTTATTATTATTATTATTTTAGGTGTTTGGAGATATCTTATTTTTGGCAATAATCCACGAGGCTCCATTTCCTACTGATCTAGATATTACTCTTTTTAAACACTGTTTAGATTTAAAAAACAGTATATCATTAGATGACTTGAAAAACATTAACCTGCAGAAATATAATTTGGTTAAAGAATTACAAAATGCTAATCCAGAAACAAATTTATCCACAATTGTTGGATTTGATGAATGGGCTGAAGAAAAAGAAATAACTGTAAGTCACGGATTTATTTATTTTCACAATTATCCTTGTTCATTTGCTTTTATTTATATTCCTTTTTTTTTTTGAATCCTTTAAAGCCTGTACAAAAGCGAATGTTTGCCAGGTCAAAAGAAAATTTACAAAAATTGGCAAAGCAAATTTGTGAGGATGTATTGATCAATAGTCGAATTACCCAACTTAATGCTATAAAAAAGAAATTAAACAAGTTTGGATTTTTTGATGTATATATTTCTCTTTTTTCAATTTCAATTTTATTAGTTTTGAATGTTTAAATATGTACATTTTATTAAATATTTTAATCTTTATAGATCTTAAAAGCAAAACAAGTCAAAATTGAACAAATTAAAGAATGCATGTATCAGGAAGTGATGACACCTGACGATATTATTCACAGATTAGTTCCTATTCCTAACTTAAATGAAAAACAAAACAATGTTATGAATTGGCTTATTGAATGGTTAAGAAGACAAGGGAAAGATAAATTACAAGAATTTTGTAGATTGGCAACGGGATTTACACATCCAAGAAATGAAATAAAGGTAAGATTTTTGAATATAATTTCAAATTAATTATTTATTTATATATATATATATATATTAATTTTTGTATTTCACAATAATTTTTCAGATTACTTTCAAATCGACTTTTTTCCAAGAATCTCCAGATGTTCAACTTACACCAAAATTTGAAACTTGTTCCCAAGAAATAAAACTTTCAGAGAATTTTTCATCAAGAGAAGAATTATTTAAGACGATGAATGCACAAGTCAATGCAACTAATGATAATGAAAACTTCACCGTGGTTTAGTTATTATTCATTACTTGTTATCTTAATATTTATTATTTAAGGAGTTGTTATGAATTGTGATTCCTCAAGATTCTTCAGTTATCGCAAAATGAATTGTTAGTTAATCTATCATAATCCTGATTACAATACTGATGATTGATATTAACAAACTTTATTTATTTTTTCATAAATTATTTATTTATTTTTAATGAAATTTTGTTTTATAAAATTTATGAATTTAATTATTTTATTTTGTATTTTTTTTTTTTTTATATTTTAGAAGTATCAAATAAAATAAAATCTGTATTATTTGATGAAATATATCTAAATATGCATCTATTTTTTTGAATTATTAAGTAGAATCTAATGAATTAGTGAATTAGAAATAAACTCATTGAAATCATATTGTAATAGATATTAAATCAAGTAGGATATTCTTTAAGTATATAAAAATGCTGTGTGAATAATGATCTTTGGATTTAGTTCTTTAATTCAAAAAGTTGACAAGTATTCAAAGTTACAAATTCAATTATGCAATTAATTTTTCAAGAAATTTAAATTTGGCATATAATTAGAGAATTTGGAAAAGATGTCAACACCAATTTCAGATAAAAGCATTTTTCTGCTTCAAGGCTCATATGCAACAATTTTCATTTTGTTTTATATTTAATTTTAATATTTACTCTTTCTAATTGTTAAAGTTCAATATGGCTTCTTTGGTCGGAATTTGTGGAAACGTGTTCAGAGATCACAGGTAACTTTTCTATTGTTCATTATCGTTATGTGTAAAATTTACTTTTTTCATCAATGTTAAGCATTAAATCAACTTACTTTACTCTTATGAAAAACACGTTCTTAGATACTTGAAATCAATCCTTTAATTTCAAATGTTTGAATGCGATATAACTCTTGCAAACTTAATAATGGTGATTTGTGAAATATCATTTTACAAAAACGAAACACTAGGAGTCTAGTACATGATGTTCCAAACAATAACATAGAACAATGATTAAGCATCTAACAAAATCAATACTAATACTATCTTGTTGTTTCTGATAAATTAGTTCAAATTTGAATATTACAAAAATTCTCTAAATCATGCACATACGGAAAATGATCAGCTCAAATGTTCTGAAGCTGTTTAAACATTAGTTATGCAAGAAGCTATTAAAAATTATCTACCAATAGCAATTGTGAAGGCTGTTAAAGAATGCAAATAATGAACTACATCTTGGTGAAATGCAAATTTTAGGTGATCATTATAGTAAAATTTTTGGATATTGATTTAGAACGTGACAAAAAATGATAGTTAAAAAAATTTCAAATTTATTTTTTAATCGAAATAAAAAATTTTTTATTTATTTTTGTAAACTTTTTATAAGGAAAGCGAGACGAGATTTTGACACGTATAATTCAGAAAATTTGGTAAATTAGTATTAATTTTGGCCAATGTTAATAAAATTTATTAGCCTGAATTAATTTTTATTTTTTTGTTTTTTGTCACAATTTTTTTTATTAGTAAAAACCCCAATTTATTGCATACATAGTGTAATGAAGTATATTTTTTTTTTTAAAGGACAGGAAAAAGAGATTCGTATTAATTTTGATCATGTGATTTTGATACATATACGTTTCGTTGATATTATGCACATCCTAAAATAATATATAAATGTGTGACTGTACAGCTGTACAGTACGATCAGGTGGATTTGTACAAATTTTATAGTGAGGCGGCACGAAAATAGCCGGAGTCACGGGGGATGATGGAGGATGATATGTGTTACTATTTGGATGAATTATCCTTGTGTGTCATCCATCATCCAGGATGACTGTTTATTCATCCTGGCACGAAAACGTTT